GGTTCATGAGTTGATAGGTCGATAGGTAGGGTCCAAGTGTGAGCGCTGCCTCCCTGGCGTCGGTAGCATTGCTCAGCACGGAAGACAAGATCGACGGAAAACAAATCAAGGAAAAAAAAAATGTTAAAATCAAAATAGAGACACACCTACAAAATGAGGGGTGTTCAGGATTTTTAAATGCTCGATTACAAGAAATGCATCAAGTTTAAGTCGACCACATTTTGATCGCAACACCCTTTACACCAAAAATGAACCAAACGTGAACTATTGACCAATGCACGGAATGAACTGCACGAACAAATTTGACGTTTCAGCGGTGCCGTGTTTACTAAAAATGAGCACATGAATGATGCTCGCGTAACATTTAAAAATGGCCTATCAACTTTTGTACACAAAACATGTCAAGCCATTTTCGCGTGATCCGAAGTACGCCCACGCAAACCAACAACACAATCGGGTAGGATAAATTGTCCCCTTCCTTGTGACTTTGAATTGTTTGTTGGGCTGTTATCGAGTAGGTGTGAAAAGAGGCATACAAATGGATAACCAAGCAACCTGGGTTATTTCTAGTAACTAACAAAATGTCTCGGGATCAAAACCAGACCACCCCCAAACGACCCTTGACTGAATCGCTTACGTACTTTAAATATTTTTCGATTTTGTCAATGATCAATACCAAAATCATTCATGTTCAATGTTTATTACGTTCCGATTCAAATTGTACGAATCTCAAAGAGCGCTTGCAGTTTCCTCTTCGTCGATATCACTGTTCTCGCCGTTGTCATCTGTGATGGCTAAAAGTGCAGAGCATCCCCGGAGCACACCTCACTTTTGAATCCTGATGAATGTGGGCGTCTTAGTGGAATACCTGTATAATGAGAGAGAGAGAAGGATTAGTAATTTCCATTCAATTCCACTACCTTATTTGCTTATCCTTGCCAGATACGCGTATTTCGTCTACAATGTGCAGACTTCTTCAGTGTCTTGTACTAATACTAGTCGAGTATTAGTACAAGACACTGAAGAAGTCTGCACATTGTAGACGAAATACGCGTATCTGACAAGGATAAGCAAATAAGGTAGTGGAATTAAATGGAAATTACTAATCCTTCTCTCTCTCATTACACCTCACAGTTTTTCGGTAGTTCCCTCATGTTGGAAATTTACGTCAGGTAGTAAATCATGTGACTACATGGATAAATGTGTATTCAACTAATAACTCTTATACTATCATCAAGGTACGAAATTAACTGCGAGAGCTGCGGAATAGAAACGGCTCGTAAACTAGTCAATCTATATCCATGGTACTATCTTCCCGTGTCTGTTCATAAAGTGCTCATACACGGGGTGAAAGTGATTTCTTCGTTTCTAATACCCATTGACTATTTGAAGAGGCCCAGGAAAGCAGAAACAAAGCTACCAAGCAATACAGAACCCACCTCACAAGAAAGTTTTCCAGAGAAGCCACGAATACAGATCTTCTTCACCGTCTTCTGGAATCCTCCGATCCGTTAATTTCCAACATGATGGAACCATAGAGGTAACTCTAAGACTAGTAGGTCCCGAAGAAACGTGCTCAACTTTTTGGCTCAGCTCTGGTACTATCTTCGGTCAAAAGCTAATCGATGCACCCCTCGAAACATAGTAAAATCCACGTCTTTTTAATTAATCATATTATCTGTCAAACTTTCATAGTGTATCAAAACAAACATAGTGTAGTACTAGAATTTTGACAAGAATGAGGTACGTTAATCGATTTGCTAGGGACCGATGGGCTAGTCAAGTAGTGAGCCAATTAATAATCGTTAGTATCCACCGGTTGCTATTACTACCCGGGTCACATGTCTCCAAGTGATATTGAACAACATTGCAAGGCTTGTAGTAGAAGCAAGACGAGACATTGAGCAATAAATTTGATAAGTTTGACAATTTTTTGTAATAGAAGTTCTATTATACACTATTATTGAATACAGCATCAATTTCATAATACTCACGCTCTAGAATGCAAATTATTTCGGATGGAAATGAAGAATTATCGCTTCTTTCACTTGACTTCATTTGTTGTTGACTTGCCATCTTTGCGATTAATGTTTGGCATGTGCGATTTTGACATTTGGTTTCAAAAGCAAAACTAATCAAATTCAATGGATGAAAACACTGGTGCCAATGCAAATGATAATCATTTTGATTTGAAGGTGTTATACAGTACATATTTTTCAACGATAAATCACTTTGTCTCTAATCGTAAATCACTTGAAAATCAAGGGGGAGAGGTAGCTCATCGATTCTTCCGGTTCGCCTCCTAGCATCGTGCTATAAGGTACCAGGCGATAACCAGGGTAGTTGATCGATAGCTCGATGACGTCATTTCGTTGGCGTCTGCAATGGGAAATTATCATAGCAGGCGTTGACGATGGGACGTTGTCGAGTTGTTGAATAGCAACTATCGTGGTAACTCACCGATTACCTGTCGATCTGCCAAATTTGGAAAGACGTCTGCATTGAATTGTCTCATATAATAATATTTCGCCCACTATATCACAAGAAATTGCGAGTAGCTGAGTGGAATGGAGATAAGCTAAGCATTGGGTACAGGACCAAGTCTCCCCTGGTGCCAAAAGATGAGCGCAATAGAATCATCAAGTTGCCATAAGGCACGGAATGAGACTATTGAATGGCTGGGTAGTCAAAGTCTTCCATTCGTTAGTCATTTCAGGTGGATTAGAACAGGTTTAGGTGGGCGTTGGCCAGATTTGGATTTTTCAGATGTAATCCTGGATAGGACCCTGTCATTGAACGTCGCGTGAAAGTGGAACTTAATGAAGGCCTAAGTACTTTTTCGTAGTTTTTAGTTTTCGGATTTGAAAGATCGTCGGTTACAGTGGCCTGCTTACTGAGCAGAAAAACGCGGTCCCAGGTCCTTACATATCAAAGAGATTTATGGTAAAATCGCTTGTGTATCGTGTATTTTGCGAAACTCGTTGTTGTCGTTGGTTCCGGGTTTGAATGGATACACAAATTTGAGCAACGGTATTATGTGATATGAGGGGCCTTAGAGCAACCGTTTTTGCTTACTGAGCAGAACATCATGAGTCTAATCTCAGGCCCATCCACATTCAAGATTCGTATTTGTTAATATGACTACATGGTAATAACAGCAACTCGGTGATTAAAAAGGTGCTCGTCTGCCTAGTGGCTTACTGAGCAGAAGACCGTGGGTTTAGTTCCAAGCTCCTTCGCGTTATATGATCGTTAGGACATCAATTCAGCTTATCGTTTACCCAAACGAACCATGCTGCAAACCCAACCCTCTTGTCCAACATCCCAGTGATACCTCGTGGAAGTGCAGAGGTGTTCTCGGCTTCCGTCAAAGCGAGTGTCATGTCAACACAATCCTTCCCATTCCTTTCTTGACCTGTGTTCGGGCGTGGCCGGCGCTGGTATTGCCTAATTTAAGATCACCAGTTTTTACACATTGAGGATGATTGCTAGTCCCAAGCATCGTCTATTGGTTCTCTGTGTAATTACAGCTGATCTGGCAGTAACAGAGTAGCAACCGTGGGCGGTCAATCAAGCTCAAGCTCAAGCTCAAGCTCAATCGTAAATCACTTGAAAATCAATGATAAATCACTAAGATTCGAAGCGCCGCATGACAGACTAAGTCAAGTGCAAGAGCATTTGGATTAGCTGTGACAACTTACGTTATTTCACAACGAATTAAATCAAATATGTTTTGTCTGTTTCAAATATAACAAGTTAATCAATAAGTTTAAACCGTGAATAAATGAGACATTATGTTATCTCTTATCTTGTTTATCTTGCACTCTTGCACCAATCCGGTCACTTCTCAGCGTTTCAGTTTTCGTATTTTTTTAGTTAATTATCGCATTCGTACTAACTGGTATGCTTGTTTTGCTCAATAGACGCACATAACCACGTGACTTACAATCAAGAAACCCGTCAATCATAACAAAATATAATTGAAATTTACATTTGAAATAACGTAGATGTTACGTAATCGCTTTTTGGATTTCTGGAGCTGATTCATCAGAGAAATTCACTTTTAATCAAACCTTGCCACCGGCCAACGGACGTCCAGCTGATAGAAACACTAATCCACCCATGCGCCACGTCCACGTGTTTCTACACGATGAATGATGCATTGGCAGCATCGTGCACATCCAAATGCCGCGCAATGAGACACCTCATGATTCTGTTCTATTTGATTATTTATTTCGGCCCCGGGCTGTTATCACCTCTCCGGCTTGGACGAACGAATCGCGGTATCTGTCTGCGAAGATTGGAAGCGCTCTTTGTCCGATAAGCGGAAGAAAGCGCAATAGGGGTAGACGGGGCAAGATAAGCACCCTTTGACATATATAATCTTATATTTTTTTAAACTGCACCTACGTATTTTTCATCAATGATCCTAACAGGCAACGTTCCAAAAATGACTAAAAATATGCAATAACTATCAAGACACGGATCATAATTCACCTACGGAAAAAATCCTCATTTTGTAACAATAATTTGCAATAGGCAATAAGCTTTTTTAAGATTCGTTTGTAAGAATTTTCAATTAATTTTTCATCCTGGTGCTGGTATTTTGTGTTGATAAAATAAATAACATGATTCTTAAAAAAACGCAAGAAACACCTTTAGCTGTGAGTGCACGTCCTGCCTCGTAGGGGTGCGCACCTAGGGGTGTCTGAAAACGTTGTACTTGTTTACATATATTCTTTAATTTATTTAATAAAATTAAAAATTTGAATTTTATTGCGTACTGCGTGAGCATGAACAGACACTAGGATAGACCAATGTTTATTTTTAGGGTGGCCATCATGCCCCGTCTTCCCCTACATACATTTGCGAGCAACACGGAGTTCACCTGCTGACATTCTTCAGAACTTCCAAAAGTGTTGGTGATTCCTTCCATTGCATTGGCGCTTATCGGAAGCGCCACTTTTCAATGAAACATTTAATTTCGTGTGGCCATCGAGTGGACAAGTATTTCCTATCAGTCCAATGTTTGCAGCCGAAATAGATGGATGGTTGGCCGAGATCGGGTTCATCAAAGCCCAGTTTTACCATTGAGCACGAAAAGCCGTATCATATTGACACAATTGATTAGCGGTTGTTATTAATAACATACGCGTCGATGCTCTGATAGGAGGTTGTTTCTACGGTGGATTAAAGTGTGCACTTGAGTTCGGTTTGTTCCATGTCGAGAGTATCTGGTCTGGATTAGCAGCTCTTGTAGTGAAGTGATTGGAAAATCGGACTTGAAAATGCCTAAATTGTAAGTATATTGACAAGGCCTATTTCTGAATTGAGTTGAATAGCTAGATTAGGTCAGTGTGATTTTGTTGTAGTACAACGATTACGACAGGGGTTTGGGAAAAAAATAATCTTGGTCACATGACTTTGGTCACGTTAGAATTTGAGATGCATTCAAGTTGTATTTTTTCTTTTCGTAATCTGGTTCTGATCCCTTCAATGCTTCGCTACCATAAGTTTTTGTTAATGTGCATGGATACCTCAATCACAGACAAACATACATAACTCTTAGAAGAAAATTCTTCAAAAAATATTGTCAAGCGTATTTTGCATGCGCACTAGCACCAACAATCAATTCGAAAACTAACGATTTTAAATTGGGTCACTACTTGACTAGCCTATTGGTCCCAAGCAAATCGATTAACGTACCCCATTCAAGTGAAAATTCTAGTACTACACTATGTTTGTTTTGATTTGATAAAATGAGGGGTTATTGATTTTTCCTATTTTCGAGGGGTGAATCGATTAGCTTGGGACCGAAGAGAGTACCAGAGCTGAGCCAAAAAGTTGAGCACGTTATTTCGGGACCTTCTAGCCTTAGAGTTACCTCTATGCTAATACCAACAATCAATACGAAACTAACGATTTTAAATTGGCTCACTACTTGACTAGCCTATTGGTCCCAAGCAAATCGATTAACGTACCCCATTCTAGTATAATTTTCAGTACTACACTATGTTTGTTTTGATTCGCTATGAAAGTTTGACAGATAAAATGAGGGGTTCGTGGATTTTCCTATGTTTAGAGGGGTGCATCGATTAGCTTGGGACCAAAGATAGTACCAGAGCTGAGCCAAAAAGTTGAGCTCGTTTCTTCGGGACTTTCTGGTCTGGGTTACCTCTATGCACTGAAATAAAATCCATTGGCAAAAATACTATATTGCTGGTTTAAATTAAATTAAGCGAATCGATTCACCCCTCGAAAATCCACTAGCCCCTCATTTCATCTGTCAAACTTTCATAGCGAATCAAAACAAACATAGTGTAGTACTAGAATTTCAACTAGAATGGGCTACGTTAATCTATTTGCTTGGGACCAATAGGCTAGTCAAGTAGTGAGCCAATTTAAAATCGTTAGTTTCGTATTGATTGTTGATATATCTCGGAACCAGTAGGCTGTGGAAATTCTACGTCTTCTAAAGAGTTGTTCATTTTGTCAAGGTAAACAACTTTGCCCAAGACATCAAATCTCCAAAACGTCAGAGAAAGAAATTAGATTGTGGTGCCACCTCTGCGGACGAGTTTTGAATTATGTGTTTATGTCAGTATTAACTTTGCTCCGCTGGATTGCATACCTGGTCCAGTGCGCAATGAGTAGTTCTAGCAGTAACGGCAGGAACAGCAGCAGTGTCAACATTTTTCTTCCATCACAGCGCGCCGGAATCTCGCTGGAATCTGGAATCGGTTGCCGCATTTGGCGTAGCCACCAGTTCTTTTTCGTCGGAATCCAGGTAGTAGCCAAAGGAGGGAAGCAATCCTAGCTTAAATTAAAATCTGATGCGGCTGAAGGTTCGAAGATCACGAGTTAATTGAGCGAATCTCAGGGAACACTACCGAGTGCACACGGGAAATGCGTTTGAAAATGTTCCATTCTCATGTGGCGATTGGTATCACTGATTGCATTTTCTGTCCTCGGGTGTTCCCTCACAAGGATGACAGCATTCAGCACATGACATGTTCGTTCAGGTTTGTAAGATGGAGGCTCCCGGAGGTGACGTTCTCGAGCGGTAGAAACAATCCAGTTTTTTTTATCTAGTTCGTTTATTTGTAAGGCTCAATCGCGTTAGCTTTACGGAGCCGATAATTCATTGTTCTTTGTTTCTAACAAAATTCACTTAATTCTATGTCTAGTAGGAGTTGGGCCGATTACTCGCGGCTTACTCGAGGTTAGAGGGGTACATTGTCGAAGGATAGGAAAAGGGGAGGAGCTTGGGGTAGGGTTTCGTTGTCTCATCAGAGTGATGTCGCCAGTATGAACGGTAGTGTGGTTCTAGATTCGTCTGGAGTTCGACCGGCTATGGTGACCAGTGGGCGACGGTGAGACTCATCGAGACGGGGGACAAGACAAACAAAAACTCATAAAGAGATACAAAAGACAAACGAATTAAATTCTTATACTAGACATTTGCAGAAACACATAAATCGACTGCATATAGCAGAGATCGCGGGTACTCAACACGTCTCTGATAGGAATATAGGGTTGTCTTCCTTGGGCCTCGAGGGTATTCAAAAGTTGCTCTCTGGCGGCGTCATTATCCGTACATTGCCAAACTACGTGATCGATGTCGTCGTAACCGTTTCCACACCGACATATGTTGCTGTCCACGAGGTTTATTCTATTGAGATGGACATAAGTCTACTAATCACGCGAATGAAGTCACGACTTAAGCCCAAGCCTTTAAACCACGCTCTCGAAGAAACATTAGGAATAATTGAATGTAACCACCGTCCAAGATTTCCATTGTCCCAATCGGTTTGCCAACTCGAAACGGTACTCTGACGCACTAAATGGTAAAATTCATCGTGTGAAGGGCGCACGTGGAACTTTTCTTTTTTGTGCTTCCAGTGAGCTTTTGTAAATCAAATCGGCTAGGAATCGATATTCTTCCAATGGTGGAAGCGCATCTATTGATTCGACACCGATTGTCACCGCCGTTGCATATTTCTGCCAGTCGATGTCCCTTGTAAGATCAAATGGAACCCGAGATGGTTCTGCAGAGTGAGGGCTACACTTTATTGAAATGATGATTGGCAAATGATCGCTACCATGGGGATCATTGATAACCTTCCACTGACAATCCAATGATAGCGATCTTGAACACAAAGATAGGTCGAGTCGGCTTTCTCGAGCCGGAGGTTTTGCTATACGTGTCGCTTCACCAGTGTTCAAAATAGTCAAATTGAAATCGTCACATAAATCGTAAAAAATAGCCGCTCTATTGTCGTCATATAGATCGCCCCACCCAGTACCATGGGAGTTCATATCACCCAGAATTAATACTGGGGATGGAAGAATCGAAACTAGATTCCAGAGTTGACTACGACTAAAGGAGGTTCTTGGTGGAACGTATACTGAAGCTATGCAAAGATCTTTGTTCTTCACATTTATTTGGCAAGCGACGATTTCGACGCCTGATAGAGCAGGAAAGGAAATTTTGTAGAAAGGGTAGCACTTTTTGATCCCTAAAAGTACTCCTCCATAAGAATCGTCTCTATCCAGGCGAATAATGTTAAAATCGTGGAAGTTGAGTTCTTTATCGGAAGAAAGCCATGTTTCACAGAGAGCAAATATATCACAATCATAATTGTGAAGTAAAAATTTGAACGAGTCTAGCTTAGGCACTAGACTACGGCAGTTCCACTGTAGCACAGTGATCATATCTTCAACCTCGTTCGACGAATTATCCATCGAAAGATATGATTGATGCAAGGAGGGGCCATGAAACAGTCAATTGCTTAAGATATGATTCTAGTGTTGGAAGCAAGGCAGAAACTAAGCTTCTAAGAGGGTCTTACACAATCCAGTTGCCAGTAGTAAGTTGTGGAAATTTTCAAAAAACTTCCTATTTTACTAATGCATGTATTTTGAACCCCTGCAGCCTCGACAGTCTTGCCGGAAAGGAAGGCCATTCTCATCACAACCATCAAGATGAAATGCTTGAAGTCTCTTTCCTTCAAGCACACCTACCCTGAGTGCGTGAGGAAGCAAATCTCGACGAACAATTCAAAATCGAGTTCCTCTTTTGATAACCACGGCTTTCACGCTGTTTTTACAACATAGTTTGATGAAGGAGATTCTCATCTAGCATCCAGAACATCAAGTACAACAGGGAATATTTTTGCAGCTGAGTTATTAACGACAGAGAAAGTCAATGCAGATAAACGATCTATGCAGCTAGGACGTTTGAATTGTTCGTCTAGAAATGGTTTCAATAGCACCTGCGCCATTTGCGTTAAAAAATTTCATTTTGGGCGAGAACTGGACCACCACTGGATCACTCGAAAGATTGTATAAAGCTGTACCCGAAGACGTTCAAATCCAGACTAACTATTCGCTCACTCTCAATCATCATGAAAAATATAAATGTACTAAATAAATGAATAAATAAAATAAATAAAATATTAATAAGGGTTGTCTTCAATTAATTTTGCAATTAAATTAAAAATAATTCATATTTGTGGTAAAAACATACGTAGTTGCGGTAAAAATGTGCGTCTTTTGTATTGAAGCTTTGTATGGGTTGATTGAAAAACCATGGATTTTTAGTTTGTTAGTACTGCAATTAAATTTGAAAGCATCAACTTTTAAAAGTAGAGAGAGGCTAACTTTTGATTTGAAAGTTGGATGGCTTTTATTTTGAAAGCTATCCGCTTTGTACCAAAAAAGAACTAATGAAAACTTTTAATCCTACGAATGTTTTTTTTTTTTAATTATTAACGATTATTCTTTGTTTGTACCTACCTACAACTTCTTCTTGCTAAAAATATTGGAAAAAGATGTCAAAAATTAAAAAAAAATTACTTTTTTTTCTAAATTTTCAAAGAAAATTCACGTGCAAAAATATTAGAAAAAGATATCAAGAATCTAAATAAATTACTTTTTTTCTAAATTTTCAAAGAAAATTAACGTGCAAAAATATTGAAAGTCGTCGTGGCATAAAGTTGGACTCAAAAAACTACAAATCATCAACCATCCGGTTTTGCTGAGAGTCTATTTTTTTCATGATAAGAGAAAAAAAATATTTTTACGTGTGAATTTTTCAGGAATCTAAGGAAAAAACCTGATTTTCTTTTATTTTCGATAAATTTTCCATTTTTTTTTAGAAAAACGAAAACGTGCCGAAAAAAAAATGATTTTCGGGGCGGTAAACTTCCCTTTAAATTCTGCTCTAAGAGTTCTGCTACGAATAATTAAAAATATCATTTGAAATTCTCCTAATAATTCTCATGAAATGCTTCTCGAAAATATCCTTGGAAGTCCCTGAGTCCAATTATACCCGAAACATTTGGCTCCATCTGGGGTTCCATTGGAATTCTTCTTGCAATTACCTTGGATCTTCCGTTAAGAAAATACTATGAATTATCCTTAAAAAATCTTTAGAAATTTTTGAATTCTTCTTGAAATTCATCTCAGAACTTCTGAAATTAATCTCAGAACTTATTAGGAATACTTTTTTGGACATTGAATCTTCCTTACAGTCATCATGAAAGTCTCCTCAGAATTACATTAAAATATACTCAGAACACTCAACGGCATTCTGGGACATGTAATCGATTCTTAAACAAAAATTAAGATTAAGTTTCTTTTCGGTTTGTCGGTGGTGCAACGTGAAACGGCTGATTCAAAACTCAATACTTGTGAACGTACCTCAACCGTTCCACTCTCCTCGTGGGAAGCGTTCGTTTCGAGCGAACGTTTCGTTTGACAGTTGTGGCCCCGTATAAAAAAGAAGCAGCTGAACAGAACCATCAAAACAATCTCCCTTTTTGCAGCTTTTGCCGTAGTTAAATTCTGCTCTGGTGCGTGTAGGTCGAAATAATAAATGCCTTTCATACATGTTTTATCGCTATCGGGTAGCAGTAGTGTCTAATCAGTGTTTTACGAATTTGTTTTTCCCGTGCGATCCAACAGCAGTGGACCCAATTGGTTCTCCAAGCCGCAGTCGCGGAAAAAATCCAAAGTCCCGTCATCGAAGGGAACGGTGGTGAGTTTCGCGGACGGAACAGCAGCACCAGGACCAGAAACACCACCGCAGAAATCTCCTCGCAAACATCGTCGGAATCATTCTGGTCAGCAACTGTCGAGCCAGGTCTCGTGGTCTAGTGAAGTTACTAGCCCCGGCAGTGAAGGATCCGGAGGAAGAGAAGGAGGAGGGAGCTACTTCTCCAGACAGAGTGGTATCCGACAGAGTGTAACCAGCAATCAGAGTAGTTTTTCGACAGCCAGCAGCAGCAGGAGGCCGCCGCCAGTGAGACGACCGACCAGGATGGCCGAAACCGAGAAGGAGGAAGCTATTAACTTGGTGAGTGATCATGTGTTGCAAAGAAATTTGTGTTGATATGGCCTTGCTTTATTATTATTATTGTTTTGGCTTGGCGACAATCTCGTTATCGCGCTATCGGAGTGCCACTACTGTGTGAGCTTCAATAACGTTAATAACACAGCGAACGAGGCGATGGATGAAATGTATTATTTATTATTTATTCGGTGGAGGGCTTGTGAAGCCTCACTAGTGTAATTATTGGAGCGTTTAAAAGTCACCTTGTCCTAATGGTAGAAGTGACAGATTTTTACGCAATCATAATGATTTTCTTTCTCGCACCATTCTCGATAAGGATGTGGAATGGAAAGAGGCTCTCAGTGAATTGATGGAATATCGGAAACGAATGTGTATTGGTACTGTTTCATTGACCTTTGCTTATCGATTATTCCTAACTGTATGATGGGTACAACCGTAAGCGATGAGTGTTCACTTAGTTAAGCTTTAAATCCAAGCGTTGCATGTGGCTGTAGTGAGCTAATTGAGTTTGCATCCGCTGACCTGTTAGTAATTCAAATTATCCTACAAAGTTGCCTATCCGTGCGAAGGTTGTAATCGGTATAATCCTATCGTCGTGGAACAACTCATTTCCCACCGCTTAAACTTTGTTGTCAAGATTATCTAATAAACACCTTTATTTTGTATGTGCTCCCTATATCTCTTCGTAGCAAGTGGAGTTCGAGTGGGTGCTACACGAGGAGGTACACTCGGTGCTGAAAGAGTTGCATGTTATTCTGGTGGAATGTGCCCATCGGTTTCCGGTTCCCTTGTACGGGAACGAAGGCAAGAAACAGGACAAGTTTGTGCTGACGGCGGCTCCGGAGCAGTTGAAGTGTATCGTTACGCTAACCGGCGATAGCATCACACATGCGGTAAGTTTATGTTAACTCTGTAACTGTAATTATTATACATATAATGGTCATGCTCATAGTTTGTCATCCAAGTGTATCTGCGGCATTACTGTTATTAAGTAGAGGGAATCTTTTTCTATGATACTTGGTTCCTTGTAGCTGGAGCTCCGTATTGTCGAAACTGAAAACGAAACAAATACAGAGAACCTCGTATTTGAGTCCAAAAGCTTCTTGGGAAAGTTCGATAGGGGTTTCATGACAAGTCAAATAGATTTTCACAACAACTCTAGGGTATGTCCATAAGGGTCCTCAAAAGGCATACAAATGGACTTTAAATGCAAACCCAGAGAACTTTAAGGAAAGTCTTCTAAAACTGTTTAGTGCAAGATAGATTACAGAACAAGTCTAGATAGTGCTTGTATTAGGGCGTAACAGCTTTTGTAAACAATGTCTTCTATTGATGATTTCTAGAAAGTTAAGGCTTGCCAACGCAAATCAACACCTTCAGGTAGGGGAAGAGTTCCCCTACCCGACGGTTATGTTGGTTTGCGTGGGTATGCTTTGAGTTCCTAGAAAACACCGATAGAAGTCATTGTTTACAAAGGCTGTTACGCCCTAATTCCAGCTCTATCTAGAAGAGTTAGTGTTAGTGTGAAGGGTGAATTAGATCTGGCTGCACTTTGGGAAGGGATACAATCTTTTAAAGCATGGTAATGATGCGAAACTATCAACTCAGAAATGTAAGAGACTTGGGTTCTAATCCACGATCTTCTGCTCAGTAAGCAAAAACGGTCGCTCTAAGGCCACCGTTCCCCTTACATCACACAAAACTGCTAACTCACTGAACTACGTTTCCATTTTTTAAATAAATTCCACCAATGCGGAAAGTGAGAATATCCGGTCGATAGCTCGCTAGGAATGTGACGCGTGACTACCGATCGCAGACTAGTGTTGATGGCAGGGGTGCTTTCTGGAAATTCTCAATAGCGGCGGTGCTTCCAGCTACAATAATGCTTTCCATGATTTGTCAGTCAGTTTAGTGCTGTCATCTTGGTAGCGACGCTGTTCGATGCGAGGGGGACGACGCTACGATGCAGGAAAGATTTTGTTTTTGGTGTGGTTAACTGCGTGCACGCTGAGTAGATAGAAAGAAGATTCTGAAGATTTCCTGCAAAAAGATGATGCGCGATGCAAGTAGATGCGAGAAATGAAAGAGGAAATTTTGTAGATTGATTTGCTAATGTAAAGGATAAAAATCTCCGGTCACGTCTTACTTCGAAAGGGAAGTAAAGCCGTTGGTCCCGGCCCATGTGTGTTGAATGGGTGCGATATTCCACGCAGCCTTCCTGCACATTCGATTGCCGTCAATGGATGGCAATCGATGTCCGTTGGTGATAGGCACTAGATTGTGGAACAGAGACCGACGTTAAATAAAGGAAAGCAGAAGATTTAACTACAGCACTTCAATGATCTAGATCATTAGAACATCTAGAACTGAGATTTAGGTATGACGGCCCCCTCGGTTCGTTGGCATGTCATAGTAGGAACTGAACATGATAGCCGCAGTTATGGTGAATAACTTTACATTAATTGTCCAACGAATGCAAAGTTCTGAATGTCAGCCAGTAGCTTGTGAAGGGCAACGCTAAATCCTACGCTTACAATGTATCCGTTAGCGGATTCCTGTATCCAGATCCTGATAGCTATACATTTCACGCAGGAGCTATTAACCTGTCCAGGTCAATCAGCCTGCACCGTTCTTCGTAAGGCGGCAAATTTACCGAATCGTTCCAGGGCAGAACACGTAAAGCGAATCTTACGAAGTTTCGCTGAATGGCTTCGATTCTGTTAGCTTGAATAGCGTAAAAGGGTGCCCACACAACAACAGCATACTCTAGAAGACTGCGGACGAGAGCACAGTATAGTGATTTCAGCGCGTAGATGTTCTGGAATGCGTTTGTGTTTCGTTTCAAGAAACCTAATGTGGCGAATGCTTTAGCAGTTATCATGGAGATGTGCTCATTGAATCTGATTTTAGAGTCGATGATAACACCCAAATCCTTAACTGAAGAAACGAAGAGCAAACTACTGAGTCCTATCCTATAGTCATGTCGTAAGGGCTCGCGTGAACGGCTAAAAGATATTGCGCAGCATTTTGTGACATTAACCTGCATACCGTTCAATGTACACCAGCGCAAAAGGGAATCAATATCCTTCTGGAGTGCGCAACAGTCAAGTCTTGAGTTAATTGTACGAAAGATTTTTAAGTCATCGGCGAACATAAGTTTCGAAGAACACAGTCGACTACACAGATCGTTCACGAACAGGATGAAAATTAAAGGCCCCAAATGGCTACCTTGGGGAACACCAGAGGGTATCTCGAAACTAGGCGAATTAACACCGTTAATGCTCGCATAGGCTGAGCGGTCAGTTAAGTAAGACTGTAGCCACTTCGTGGCCCAATTAGGTAATCCCATACACCTCATTTTGTCGACTGCAAGCACATGTGGAACCCTTTCGATCGCCTTACTGAAGTCCACGTAGATCGCATCAACTTGTCGTCGTTTTTCAATGGAGTTGATCAGTGAGTTGACAAACACCATTAAGTTGGTTGTTGTAGAGCGTTTCCTCACGAAGCCGTGCTGATGTTCGGTAATTATTAACCTAACCGCTTGATATACGACCTCATATACGATCTTCTCCAGACCTTTTGGGAGGCAGCTTAGAATCGAAATTCCGCGAAAATTTTCAACGTTGTGGATGTTTCCAGCTTTGTGAATAGGTGTGATGGACGCAAACTTCCACATTGTGGGAAAAACACCACTAACTAGCGAAGGATTGAAGATAATCGACACAGGTGAAGCGAGAGATGCAGAAAATTTCTTAATGAACGATGGCGGCAAACAGTCTGGACCAGGGCCTTGAGAAAGATCGACAGATGAAAGAACTTTCCCCACCTCTTCAACAGATACATCCAACTGCGGCAAATGCAAGTTGTAATGAGCTATGCTGCTCATCCAGTCACGACGATCATCCGGAGAATGAGTGGGAGGGGTAGTCGAAAAAACATCCTTGAAGAATTTTGCGAAGAGATCAGAAGCTTCTTCCGCGGAGTCAGCAAGAGCTTATTTATAGGACACATTGAGTGGTATACCGCCATTCCGCCTAAGTTTCTTCACGTAGGTCCAAAAAGACGATGGATCCCGCTTTGTCTCCGACTCAATGCGCAATACATATTCATGGAAAACTGTGTTCAACCGGCTGGTGTAGTGCTCCTCCATGTCGTGAAGTAATCGCCTGTTTTCCTCAGTCCGTTGTTTGAAAAGACGTTTCCTTGCTTTCCGTAACCTGTTTCGGAGGTTCCTAAGTTCCGTGGTCCACCATGGTTGATTGTAGTGAACACGGAGGCAATATCGTCGAATAGGAGTATATTCGTGGATGATATCGAAAATGGTACCATGAAACCGGAAAACAGCATCGTCAACGTCACAATCAGTCAAAATCGTCGTCCAGTCTATCGAGCCTATCCGGGCGTTGATAAGGGGTTCATTGCAGAAGCTGAAATCGTAATAACAGCGGTCCAGCCCAACGTCGTCAGTATTACGAAGGTAGTCAAATTTGATGATAAAAGATATGTGATGAGCGTCGAGTTTTAAAATTCCACAGGGCGATTCGAAAAGTTCGATTCTGTCAGTATCACTAACGAAAGCCAGGTCAAGTAATCTCTTGTTTACGTTACGTACATCCTGAACCTGCTGTAATCCACATGCAAGGATCGACTGGGTCAAAGCGATTTCTTGTTCAGATGAAGCGTTGGTCGGGATGTAAGAATTCATGTCGGCATCAAATTGCCATGATAGTCTAGGCAGATTATAGTCTCCCAAAACTATGACAGTATCGGTAGTTTCAGCAAGCTCACACAATTCTTGAACACAAGATGCATGATTGGAGTACATGGCGCAGTCCGAGTTAGGCCTTAAGTAGACGCAACATATGTAGACCGACTGCATTGGCAACGAAACACACACGGCCACTTGCTCTAAACAGTTGGCATTAACTAGTGGAACCAACTTACAACGTAAATGCTTTTTGACACCGATCAGTACGCCGCCACCACGTAGCAGTTGAGATGTGGCTGGATTCCGATCGAGACGAGAGTTCAGAGTTTAATATGTCGCTGCCAAGTCACGTTTCGGTCAGCGCAATGACGTCATAGTCACAAGATGATAATGCCAAACGAAGATCGCTAGTTTTAGTTCTTAATCCGCGGACATTCTGGTAAAAAAATTGTAAGGGGGAGCGCATCTGGTGGATTCGGACGATGAAGTGCTTGAACCGTTTTTGCGGGACTAGAGCAAGAGCCTACTTGCTCGCATTCGCTGTCTCGGAAGCTGACGATGGTAGTGGGTTCAATAGGACTGACTTTAAAAAATCCCGTTTTTTATCAGTGTCTTCGAACTCCCGGAATCTTATGCCAGAGGGCCATGTGTCCAAACACATTGCATTGCCGAGTGTTCAGGACAAAGAAGTTTTTGAAATTCTTCAAAAAGTATTTGGTTTGTCAGGCCATATGTAGTTGCGGCCGGAAATCTCAAAGTTTCGGCTCTACCAGCACTATCAACCAAGATGTGTACGAGAAAGAATGTTTGCAAATGCGGTTGCTACCATTCATCAGAAACCACGACACTCGAGCTCTGTTGTGGCTTCTTGTCACTATGCTAAATCCATCCTGGAATGGTATAATGGTCAAAAGGTTAAATACGTGCCAAAAAAAGCCAATCCGCCAAACTGTCCAGAACTTCGCCCAATAGAAAGATACTTGGCTCTGGTTAAGCGGAAACTATTCGAGACAAAGAGGAAAGCCAATGGCACCAATTATTTCAAGAGGAGATGGAGGCACGCCGCTACAGGTATCTGAGGATACTGTAACTGTAAGAATTTTACAGAAGAATTAACATTCACATAACCTACGTATGCTATCGATATAAGTCTGCTTTACTGAAATAAGCAATCGGTTTTGTTGTAGGTATTATGTGCAGATTTTTTTCCACCATTATCTTAGTGTCCGAAATTTAACGTGTCTCCACGCTACCTTTTCCATTCACACAAAAAACCCCTGCAAGAACCTGCGAACTAATTGCCCCCTTTTCCCCCAGGACATCAACTTCAAGGTCCAACGGCAGCAGCAGCAAACGCAGCGGACCTCCATCACCCAGGACTACCCGTGGAAGATTCAGCAGGTCCAGGACGCCGCCAACCACCTACAGCAAGCAATAAACCACATCGACAATGTGGATAGTTCATACAATTTCAAAACCTCCGACGAGGTGTTGCACGTCCTGGGAAACATATTGGGTGCCTTGCAGCGAGGCAGGACCTCGCTGGTGGTACCCCGCAAGAAGCCCATCGATGAGCTCATGAAGAGCCGAAATATGAAAGCGCTGTCGCCTAATCTGCCGGAGGATTTGGCGATCAGTTTCTACATCCAGAGCCACAAGCTGATCTTTGTGGCCTACCAGCTGACGAACTTCCAGGGCACGATGAAGTTCGATTCCTGCCAGGCCGAGTGTTCGGTACCGTGGTTAAACGAGGTGCTGGTGCTGTTTACCGTGGCACTGCAGCTGTGTCAGCAGCTTAAGGATAAGGTATTTTCTCTCATACGAGTTGTTGGAAATTGTTTTGGAGTCATTTTAATATTTTTTTTTTCATTTCAGATTTCAGTATTCTCGCAGTATAAGGACTTCACCGTTGGTTCTCGTTCGGCATCCGCAATGTCCTACTGACTGGACCAATCGCCGGCGGCGGATCCTCTGGTACCGTGCCGGGCTTAGGTGGGGTGATTGCGGGTTAAGATCTTAGAATTCCCTCTCTTTCAACAGTGTTAAGTTATACAGCAAAGCAACTAGTGTGCAGCAGTGCACTCCTCAGTTTTCAGGACAAAAGTGAATACATGAAAAGGTGGAACCCTTGATCCTAGTAGCTATTAAGTACCGCGCAAAGTCCAAACATATACAGACGGATAGTACGATGTTCAAACGAGTCTTGTGCTCGTAACGAAGAAATTTGGCCGTCGTCGGTCGTTGTTGATAATATTGATGTTTGTTGATAACTTAGGGTACTCGTGTTGTTATCGGCAAGCGCCGGTGGCGATTGTGTCTACGGGAAAGGGAGACAGGCAGTGATTCATCGAAGGAGCTTCTTATGAAGTTCCCATAAATACCAACTGATTGTAGGTGCCTATCAGCCATTAGTGTTTGGCTGCCAGAATTGCCTAATTGTGTTTGTTTTCCATTTTTAGTGCTTTATCAACGGAATGAGGCAGCCAGACTGCAGCCGATATCAACACATTTAGATAAGCGCAAGTGAAACAAATGAAAATTTAATGTTTAGGAGTACTTAACGAGTCGTAAGTAAACAGAAATAATGAAATCGTATAGTGGCAAATATTTACTCAACCTTGTGTGCGAGTGCGTAGGAGAATGCCTTCCCCCGGTCAGCAGCTGGTCCAAGGTGCTGGATGTGAAGGGGGTGTGTGCAATCAGTTGCGATCGATCGCTGATTGTGATGAGCATTGTGTAAATAAGAGGGTAGGGTGAATAGTGAGTTGGCGGTAGGAATCTCGAAATTGATGTTTTTATTCCAAGACCGGCTGCTGAACGGGTGAATGGACGGTGAACTGAAATGTGTATCATAGGCATCCTTAAATGAACTGTAAACTGTTCGAACGTAGAAGCGTTACCCTTACAAAATTCGAAGATGAACTTTAGCACTTAGAGGTTTTAAACTGTTCTGATACATCAGCATGATTTTAATATTTTTTTTTTGAAATATATTTATTTGAATTATTCATTTCTATTTTGTCCTTTATTTTCCTTAGTTTAAGCGAACATATAGGTATTTACCGAGAAGGGTTTCGATTATTTCTGTTGGTTTTTATTTCATAGCTTAACATCTAATGAATTATCATCCCCCATGGATTTATGGAATTTGAATGACGATCTAACACCAGTTATGGCAATTGGATCCGAAATGTCACCAATTTCGTCAGATGCAAAGTACATGAGTTATGGGGAAATTGCGGAAAGTTTTTTTTCAAATGGAGTGTATTTGTTTTGTTTATTTGGTTCTACAGTCTGTTGATGTAGGGTTTAGTCCTAATGATGGATTAAGCAATACTAGGAAATACAATATACATAGTCAAGAAGTAACAAGCTGCAATGGCCGTGAAGTCCAACTTAATTCCTAATTCTTAAAAATATATCACGGCATCTCAGGCGCAGCGTCTCACGTGCCAAGTGAAAATCAAATAAGGAAGCAACACAATTGAAAACCCTTTGTAGCCCATTGATAGCACCATACGAACTATAGTTTGTACGACGAAAAGGTATCCTCAGCATTGCGTTGTTACGGAGTGCTCGTGGTTGAATGTTAACGTCGATTTGTTGTAGAATAGAAGCACAATCGATTCTGCCCTGTAGAATGTCTGCCACAAACAGGGCCCTTGTCGTATCTCTTCGACACCACAAAGGATCCCGGTGAATTAACTGGCACCGACTTTCGTAGCTTGGAAGGCAATCGTCGAGGGGCAAACCAGATGAATCGTCGTTGAATAGACTCTACTCTTTGTACACTGTTTTGGCAATTGGGATTCCATACAGGGCAGTAGTATTCTAAAACCGACCGGACGAGGGAGCAGTAAAGCGACTTCAAATAGTAGATGTCCGTGAAACTTTTAGCTATCCTGAAAATGAAGCCGAGCGTTCTGGATGCCTTGTCGATCACCTACGAGGTATGCTGGCTGTATGTGAGTTGACAATCTAAGTTGACTCCCAGTTCCTTAATGTTATTCACACGATGTACGTCAACGCCTTTTAGGATATAACTGAATGTAATTGGAAGTTTTTTTCCGTGAGAACGTAAAGAAAATTTTATTGGATTTACAACCATGCGGTTCAGTTGGCACCAATTAGCAAAAGCGTTGAGTTGGAGTTGGACAAGGTGGCAGTCAGCGATGGCTCGGATTTGGAGATAGATTTTCATGTCGTCTGCGAACGACAGTCGTGGACCGTCGAGGACGAAATTGATGTCGTTGAAATACACAAGAAATATCAACGGGCCGAGATGTCTACCTTGCGGAATACCCGAAGTGGCAGGGAACGATGGAGATCGGCAGTCGTCGATTGCAACTTCCAACTGAAGATCAGATAGATAGGATGCGAACCATCGTAGGAGACTGCTAGGCGGCTGATAGGTCAATGTAGATGACATCTGTTTGTCTGTCATGCTTTCCTTAATGTACGAGGTGAGACACAGAAGGTTGGAAGTAGTCGACCGCCCTGCCATGAAACCATGCTAATGGTTCCATAACAAACAACTCGAACAGTCAAACCCTTCTTATGCACTGGAAACATCTCAGCTGATTGAAGGAAACAGCCCACTGACGAGGGACATTTCGAACAGAAGGCAGAGAGGAGCCACCAGGCTATTGATGTGTTGCTTGAGAAAGACGGAAGGAATTCCGTCAGGTTCAGGCTTAAACGAAGACTTCAGTTGTGACGCCGCCCAAGTTATCATAGCGAGGTCGATGTTGATAGCTGTAAAAGACATTGGAACATTACTGGCTGCTAGAGAAACCTGCTCCTTAGGTAGGTTCTCATCCGTTCAATACCATAGTCGATGGAAGGCCAGACTCCTTTCGTTGCTCATTCACATAACTAATTCCAAAAAGTTCTCGGGTGAGATCGAAGCTTCCGTTGAACATCTCGTTGATAAAGCCACCAACATTGGCGACTGGTTCGTTGATACGCATGATTGATCCTTGAGTTGTAGGGTGTGGTACTTGGTGTATTTTCTTAGCGCGGCTCTTTTGGAAGCCTTTAGGAGTGATAGCTTTGATCGAAGAAACTTTTTTCGCTGGGGTAAGATCTTATATCCGTTATACTAATCATAACCCGCGCACTTTACCTCTCCTCTTTTTCGCACGGGTTTGAACAAATCGAAATATGTCCACTAAATATTCACTAAAGTTCCTGGATGGGAATCGAATAAGGTTTCTGCTATCACTTTCATTTCTAAATTTGGCCTTCCCAATTCTGGGAAAATCAGTCATGATAATACGCGAAGTTTTAGTATACACAATTTGAAAAAAAATGTAGCAAAATACCTAAGAAGTAAGTTTCTTCTATACCTTTCAAATGGACTTTAGAGAATCAAAATTGGACGTAAAATGGCAGAGATATGAACAAAAAACCTTTTCATGTTTTTTGGGGGTGGCCCAAATTTATGATCGGGAGTGTAGTACCGGGAACCTCCGTTAATCTGAACAATACTTCGTGCATATTAACGGGGTTTGTTTTTATATTTAACTTCTAGTAAGCCTAAGACCATCAGAAAAACGGGTTTCTGATACTTTATTTGCTGTTTTGTTTTGATTCTGCGTTCCGTTTCGGATCGTTCCATTCCAGTTTACTCCATTCCATGTGCTAAATGACGTTTGAGCATTTCGAGTGTGCACGGCGTGCAGATTAGCGGTGTACAAACTAAAAGGTGTTCAGATTAAAATCGATCGGATTACTGGGGATCCGCGGTATATTGCGAGTCCTCACCCCCGCTCTACAACTTGAAAAGAAGAGGTGAAAACATGTGTTGTCATGTTTTCGATCTTGCTGAAGACTTCTTCTCAAAACTCCTGGCAACCCTACCAAAGGCACCAATCGTCTAAATGTTAAGGACTGGGACACTTTCTTGCTAAATTCCTATCATGGACCACTGTGAATTGCACAAGCTTGATTACAGCCTTTCCGTACACTTTTTGTTCGGGTCATAACCACTGCGAGCAACACATTGATATTTGTGACATCTGTGTCCTTTTTGCCAAGCCAAAAAGTTGAGCACGTTTCTTCGAGACCTTCTGGTCTTAGAGTTACCTCTATGGTAGTACCTCGCCGCTATGGAAAACTTCGTTTTCGATACAGTTATCATACGCACTGCCTCTTCTCACAAGAAGCCTCATTCAAATTTAATGTTCCGCATAATTCAACGAGTTTTGGGGCTTTTACAAAGATGCGCTCTTTCCTCAATTCATTGAAGTCCCATTAACTTCACAACAATTGTAGGAACTTTGGAGAAGTTCTGAGGGATTGGGATGAAAGGAAATGCTGAGAATTCAGTGAAGGGGCGACCCCGGCATAGTGGTTAACATCCATACCTCTCACGCCAAAGTCACGAGTTCAAATCTCACCCCCGGACAAGTCACGAATGACCCAAAAGTGTTAAAGTGACTATGAAAAAAAAAAAAAAAATCAGTGAAATCAGTGAAGCTCCGTAAACAAACTGCGGGAACATAAAGGATGCTAACACGCATAAAGTATGAGGGAACTTACTTGAAGATTTAAGAACCTCAAAGCGGTTCTTTTAGAATCCGAAAATTTTCAGGAACTTTTATGAAGTTCCTAGAATTTCAGAGAACTTCACAGGTGTCAAGCGAACTTGAGAAATATAGAAAACTTAACTAGAAGTTCTAAGTACTTCAGGAAAGCTAGATCTAGAGATCTTTGGAGAATTTCATATCTTAATAGCAGTTCTCGTTACTTTAGTCCAGACCTTTGGAGCAGTTTAAAGATCTATAATCGTAAATTTAAAAAAAAATCAGGATAGTTCCATGATGTGCTGTAAAAAATTGAAAGATGTTCCGAGAATTTCATGGAAGTACAGAGACCTTTAGAGAATTTATGAAATATTCAGGAACTTCTCAGAAGTCCAGAAAATTTCTGGGAAAATTTAATGGCGTTTACGGGAATTTCATTTATTTCCGAGCAGAACCGAGACCTTCAATAGAATTGAGAGCTTTATGGAAGCTTCGAGAACGTCAAGAGAGATCTGAGAATCAAAGGGCAGTTCAAATAATTTCAAGGAAATTGTAGAAACCTTAAAGAAGTTTGGAGAAATTCAGGGAATTTTCGGAAACAAAGCTTCAAGAGAGCGTGATAAAATTTATATGAACATCCGGAAAACGTGAGAGTATTTTAAGGGTGTTATATTATAGACAGCGTTGGAAAAGATCGCGATATTTCACGAAGTTCACCAAGGGAAACGTTCACGAGTCATAGTGAGTTTTGGTGAACTTTTCCAACACTGATTATAGAGATATCACGAACTTAAAAAAATGCGAAAATTTAGCTCTGTTGATTAAAGAACATCAATGAAGTTTAATTAATGGACAGTGGCCTTCAGAGACATTTTGAGACCTTCATAGAAATCCATGAACTTCAGGAATTTTTATAAACATTATCAAAATGCGGGAGAAAGAATTTTAGTAAGCTCCGAAAATTGGATGAATTTCAGGGGGAGGCGTGTTTTATTATTATTCAGAAAATTAGTGAAAATTTAAAGCAGTTCCCAGATTTTCAAATAACTTCAGAGACGGTAAAAAATCAATTGAGGTCTTTGCATAAGTTCAGAAGTTCATTGAAGCTTAAACATTTTTAGGACGGTTCAATTGAATTCAGCGCAGTACAACAAGCATCATGAAAACTGCAAAAACATAAGAGAAGTTTTGAGAATTTCATAAAAGAACGGAGAACTTTAGAGCAGTTCCGTTAACATTAAAGAAGTCACATAAAGTTAAATGAAGTTTAGAGAACATCAGCGAATTGTTAAACCTTTAGAGGAGATCCATGATCGTTGGAAAAATTGAGGATGCTTTAGGAAGTCCAATAAAGTTCCGGAAAGTTTAAGGATTTGACCAGAAGTATTGTGAGCATCAGGCTAGTTTCTCGAACTACAAAAGAACTTCAAGGCAGTTTCATTAACTTCAGCAAAAATTTGGGAACTTTCAAGTAGCTCTGAAG